ACCATACTTAATACCAGTGTAAAAGATAAAGTGATGTACATGACCCTCAATAGTAATGTAAGAATTCTGGATGACACCGTGCTCCTATCTATTATATGCTTCCACCAGGGGTAATGGCCTGATGCCTCAGAGAGAGGAGAACATGCCATAATACACCAGCTCAGTTATTCAATACTAGGGGAAAGGTGTGGGGGTACATTTCTTCCTGACCCCCTTGAGTGAACAATGCGAGTTAGATTTCACTTTTATCACTGTTAGGCTACATCTACACTACAGGGGGGAGTCGATTTAAGATACGCAAATTCAGCTACGTGAATAGCGTAGCTGAATTCGACGTATCGCAGCCGACTTACCCCGCTGTGAGGACGGCGGCAAAATCGACCTCTGTGGCTTCCTGTCGACGGTGCTTACTCCCACCTCTGCTGGTGGAGTAAGAGCATCGATTCGGGGATCGATTGTCGCGTCCTGACGGGACGCGATAAATCGATCCCCGAGAGGTCGATTTCTACCCGCCGATTCAGGCGGGTAGTGTAGACCTAGCCTTAGTCACTTTGCACCTTGGAGCATAAAGACTGATAGCCCCCGTAGCCTTGTTTTGCTAGTGCAACTGCTGGTACCATTTAGATTTCTTTTGCTGGCACAGCTGCAAATGATACATACCTATTAATAAAAGTATTCAGTCCCTTATTGAAGTCCTGTGGCATTGTTAGTGCCAATGATTTTCTCTGGCAGTTACTGTTGATTTGCTGAAAAGTGGCATTCAAGTTAATAACCTAGAAGAAAGGAAGTCAGTTCTCCTGGCTCTGCAGAAAAAGTTCTGATGATTGAAAGGCCAACTGAAAGCCGCCATGGAGTGCACTTGAACACCAGGCAGGCAATCTATCATAAAGATGAACCTCAATATTCCTGCTCCCTGCAGCTTGCTATATTGGAACATTCCAATGGTCCATCTAGCCTGGACTAGCTGTATTCATAGGCAATAAGGACTGCTAAATAAATAAGATAAAACCCCAGAGTTTATAGTACTGAATAGTGAAGTTACTATACCACCAGGGGAATTTCTTCTTTAGCCCAGCTGGTTAGTTGATTGTTTATGCCTATTTGAGCAAATCATGAAACTGTTGATCAGTTTATACTTTAATTCATATAGACTAGTAGCCCTTGTAGTTTTATCTTGCTATGGTAACTCCTAATTCTCTTTGTTTTTGTATGTCTTCAATCCTTTTGTAGTTGCAGAGAAATATGTCATGGAAGAATGACCAGTCTCAAAATGAGCAGATGTCCTTTGCTTTCTTTTTCAGACGTGGGTATCTTCCACTAGCTAAAAAAATGAATGAATGAAAATATCCCATCACCCCGGGGATCATGTACTTGAATTAATAGATAGTGACGGTAGAATTCCCAACTTTAAGATCTGTTTTACACGAGGAGACATCTGCCTGTATCACTCTTCTGTCTCCCTTTTTCTGTTATTTTCCCATCTCCCCACTTTCCCAACTAGGAATCCATATTAAGGGACGAGTACACAAAGCTCAGTGAAACTCCCTTTATTTATTTCACTTGTGTTGTTGCTGTTGTTGTGTAGGGAAAGAGCAAGATAACAAAAGGAACAATGTAAAATAAAATTGTACCGGACCCAAACATTTTAACACATGAAAATCCCTTCCCAATGCAAAGACTCTTCCTCTTCTCTCGTTCTGCCTTTTCCTTGCATTCTCCTGCAGCACAGGCATTTTCTCTCTGTAAGCCAAATTCATCTGTGATGTAACTTCACTGAATTCATTGGACTTACACCAGGGACAACTTTGGTCCTCTGTCTCAGGCAATTACAGTAGGAATAAATTGGTCACGCAGGCAAAGTATCTGACAATTAGTGCGCTGAGTTATTCCTGGCAAACCAATAAGAAAGATTTAAAATAAAAATCCCCGAACAGGTCTTTTATTTAATGTAAGGCGTAAGAATCTACTGGGAGCTGATGAATACTGCCCACTAACTGTACAAAGTATAGGTAGCATGCCTTCAAATATCAAAATATCAGATGGAATGCCATGAAAATAAATAACTTCTAATATAAACAAATGAGAACATATCAAACTGTTACCTCTTTAAACATATTGTAAATTTAAAAAACAGTCCTTCTACACAATAAATATTAAGAAACCATTGACATAGTTGAAATGTACTCATATAAATTAACAACTTTAATTACATTAGCCAAACAGACATTGGTTAAAGCACTGCATGTAATATGCAAAATAATAATAATAATAACATCAACAACAAAACACAAAATGATAAAAACAAAATAGGCTTCATAATATCTTGGCTTTCATAATTTATATATATGTATATCTATACTGGTGTGTATGTGTTTGTGTGTGTGTATGTGTGTGTGTGTGTGTGTGTGTGTATATATATATAGTAGATATATATAATACACATATATACATATACATATATATCTTCAACCCATCATTAATTTATGGTTTTCAAAGTGTTTAAATACAAAACCCCATTAAGAATTAACACAAATTCATTGTACCTCCAAAAAAAAAAAAAAAAAAAAAA